TCCTCAGTGTCACGCCCGTACCGGACCGGGACCGGCCACGGGATCGCAACCCTCGGTGTTGCTCCCGCACCTCGCTCAGCCAGTGAGCAGCCGGTCTGTATGTGGGATCCGAACCCTCGGCGGGAGCGCCGACGCACTTCCCAAGCGGCGCACTGTAGCAGTGCGCCACCGGGCCGGCCCTAATGTGAGCTTTTTAACAAATATAATAAATAACAGTTGTACCACCCTTTCATATTAATTGATAGAGTTGGGCCTAGAAACCAGGTAGGTGTCTGAACTCTATAGCCGATATTCTTCCCATTACATCAGGATTCTATCCATGGGGTTTGATTGGCTGAAAAATACTCTTGTAAATCCTGCCCTTGCACAACTGTGTTAGCCATCTCGTGTGGCATCTGAACTTGGGTAAACCAAGGAAGTCTTGGAGGCCTGGTCCAAACCCTAAGAGTCTGGCCTGGACCCAAGTCCAGAGGTTCTCTGGGAAGTCAGTTGGTTGTTTTGATGTTCTGCAATATGAACCTTTGAATATCTGAAAGGCAAATGTTTTGGTTGGAATCTTTGTTCCATTATTCCTAGTTGTTTGACTTTTGAAAAATTACTTAACCTCTCTATACTTAGTTTTATGATCTGTAGAATGGAGATAATGTTATCTCAGGGCATAATATTATCTCATGAAATTTGGATGTGATCACACATACAGCACCTCATGCTGATAGGAAGGAATTGGTAGGAGAAACCAGACTCACCATGGAGCAGACATGTACCCCTGCTGAGGATTCTGCTAAGAAATAGTCAGTTTTCCTAGAGATCCTTCAAACTAGGGCCCTCAGAACATTTGGCTCTATCCTTAGCCTTCCATACAAGATGGGGAGATAGGAATCTAGTTGGGAAAAAGAACAGAGATAATCCAAAGACTTTCACATTGCTTTCCAAAGACCTTTAGACAACGGTGACTATATTTGTTTTTGAAACTCCAGTGTCCAAACATCTATTGAGTGAGTAATATGTGCTAGAAACCTTTCTAAGTGCTAGTGATGCCCTTGTGAAAGTAGAATTAATTTCAATATTGGTTTGTCAAGTGAATCTGTGAATAGTGGGGGTGACTTGTGTGTGTTGTAAAGGCATTGAAAACAATTTTTACCTTCTTTTTTTCCCTCATCCTGTCCTTCAGTTTGGACTAATCTGAAAACAATCATATTTAGACTCAACTGATATTGCTTAGTCTTGGGATTTGAAATCAAGTTTGCCTGACTCCATATTTGTTTCTTCTTCTGCTATAAATATATAAATATTCATGGAGAATTTAGACGGCAAATGTTTTTAGCTGAGAAGAATACCACTGTGGGATGAAAAAAAAAAATTCTATAAACACTAATTGACTGCCTACCCTGGGCAAGACACTGTACTTATAGGATCACAGGACATTAGAACTGGAACAGCCCTTATTTGTAAGCAGTATTCACATTGTGATTAATGGAACCCTTGCAGACCCACATAGAAGCCACTGAGATTTCCATGGGAAGCAAATGGGATATTATAATGGCCTTAGATTTCCACATTTGCTTCATCAAGAACTGATATACTTTAATCAGTTTTGTCAGTCTTTTTCCTCTGTGTTCACCAAGCAGAACCATAAAAGCTAAGGTACTAAGGTTTTCCTTGGTTTCTTCTTTAAAACAAGGTTACCCTATCCCATAGGATAGTTGGTGCTGTTATTGAGGTTGCACATATCAAAAACCTGGTTCTCAAATAAATGTATACTAACTTTATGTTTTCATTGTTTTTGAGTACATCCAGAGGAGAAAAATCCAATTTAGGCCATGAAGTTTTTCAATTCAATCCTTGATTTAGTGGAAATAGCTTAACCATCAATAAGACCTTAAGTGTGGCTTTGGTCTGAAAACCTGTAGCAACTGGAAGGTGGAGAAGAGGGATATGAGCTCTATCCTAAGCCCTGGCATGTCAAACATGTGTCTTCTTTGGTAGGATTCAGTGGTAACCACCCTGACTCACATAAATGAGTAGGTAATTATATGGTTAATCCATGAAATATAGGCCCTTATCCACCTACAAACAGCTGTTTCTAATGGCCTTTAGACACTTGAACAGCATTCCTGTTCTTTTCTTAGAGCTGGCTAGGAACATCCTGAGCTAGAACAGTATCCTTTGTTAGGCATTTATCTTGAGCAGTGCTTCCACAATAATAATGTTTGAGAACTACTGATCTAGAGAGCTAGGTGGAAGGTAAACTCCATGTACATATGTATACTCAGTTGTGTGTACACCCCCCCCACCTGCTCCACACAAGTACACAATATGCATCTCTTTGTAGTGTAATATCAGTTTCTACCTACTTCAGCTTACCAAGACAGAGGTTCTCAGTCGTGCCTGCATAGCAGAACCACCAAGGAGTCTTTTAAAATTTCTGATACTCAGGTGACATCCCAGACCATTTAAATCAGAAATTCTGGGAGTGGGGATCCAGGCCATTCCAATGTACAACCAAGTTTGAAAATAAGTGTACTAGATTAGATATTTCTTATGATGAAATATTCTCAGAATCCATTTCCTTTTTTGAAAGAAAACCTTTTTGTTTTTTTTATAAATTGCCAAATTTTATACAGGCTTACCTCTGCTTCTGGCTATGAGGAAGTCACTGTGATAGAACTTACTCTCTTGTCTTAAGCAGTTAGAGAACTGGACAAAATACATAAGGTGACTATTTCTGGGCACTAGACACTAAGCAGTGAAGAAATGAGATTCATGAAAGAAGACAAACAAACAAAGTAAACTTTATGTTCATCATGGCTTTCTGTCTGGAGACACTTTCCAGATTGCAGAGTAAGGAAGGGGATTCCAAGCAGAACATAGGAGACAGATTGAAATTTGGAAAGATTGAGATGTCTGGAATTTGGGGCATAGAGTACTAGAGAGAGGGGAGCTCCCCAGAGAAAGATCTCCAAAATCTGCATAAAGACATCCCTTCCCCCACCAAGTATTGTGTTGAATACTAAACCGTAGATGTGAAGGGTGAGACTTCATGAGGCTGGGCAAAGCCCAATCAAGG